AGGGGCCTATCGTTTCGAAAAGAGTTGGAATCGTTACACCTTCTGCACTGCCACAGCAGGCGATGGGACAAGTGCTTGAACGTGTGTACAGGTTGTAATACTTGCTGTGATCTGCGTCAATCGGTCGGGAAGGCAGCGCTAAGCTGCTGCGTGATACTACACGATCGGATGGAATCTAGAGCAGTTGTCCCAGGAAAAGTGCTCATGAGCTGGCAGCCACGGAGTATTAAGGTTCAAGCCCAGTGAGAACTTACATGGGCTCCCCTGTTTTAGACTGTTTTGTACCGTATGATATCGGGAAACCCGACCACACCCATAACCTGGCAGTGGAACCTACTTTGACTGTATGTTGTTGTATGCAGTCGGGGGGCCGCGCGATACCAACCAATCACCGTTGGGCTGGGTCGGGCTCGGGCGTTTTCCTTTGGTTAGGCGTGGTTGCTGTTGAGACACTTTGTAGCAGAACATCGTCACATTACTGTATACTATTGTATGCTGTCGTATGGCTACACGGGGTAATACAGCTGCGATCAGGTATCATCGAATACTCGCGGAGAATCCTGGACGCCATTGGATCACAATGGGATCAGCCAGAGACGGCACACGAGTCTGCTGGTCGGCGATACGACCCTGCCGCCAAGAGAGAAACAACCGCGTGCGATGCTTAGGCCTCCTGTTGACCACTTGAACGGGCGCGTCGTCGACATTGTCAGCATTCGAAGTGCAATCTTATCAGTAAGATTCGGCAATGGGACTCAATAGCGGTGCTAGAGACGTACTGTCTATGACGCAGGAACATGTCCGAGCCTGTATGTCGACCGCACGCTGGTAGCCCTGGATGAGGGACGTGTCCTGGCCGACCATGTACAGCCCGTCGGCGTCGAGGGCAACGTACATGCACACCCTGCTCCTTGGCGATGTTCAGTGTGAGCTTTGCAAAAGTCTGCATGTAGTCTTTGCGCCCGAGCCCAGGACCGATGATCAGCATAGCAGGCGCGAGAGGAGGCCTGAGAACGTTTGCTTGACAGAGTTGATAGGGCTGTGGTGTGACTCAACATCAGTGCGGAGAGGGAGGGTATGGCCTAGGGAAGAGGGCGGTCGAGATAATGGTGAGCAAAGGAAGGCGATACATGCGGCCAAACGCACCTGGCGCTCGGCACAAGTCAGAGCCTTGTAGTGAGCCTCGAAGGTCCTGCGTTCACCCGGTCTCCATGTACCATGGCCGCACATGTATCCGCCTGGAACAGACATGTGACTCAGGCACTCAAGGAAGTCAGAGAGTGAGGGAGTGAGTAGTACGTACTTGGCACCTTGCAGATCAGCTGGGGAGGCCATGGCAAGGTCTTGCGAGGTGCACATGTTGTTATTTATTGCTGTTGTCTGCAAACACTTGCCGGGAGACTGTGTTGAGGGAACAGTACCTGGTAAAACGATATAGTGGGAGACAGCTTGCAAACGAGGGGATAGACATGGTAGACGTGGTGGATTAAGAGACAGAGGGTACATTGAGGGAATCCGAACATCGGCGCCTAAAGCGCATGACATCATATCCTCGCCGAGGAAGGAGAGATCGATGTCAAGAAAAGGTGAAGAATACGAAAGCAGAAGAGATGTGAGAAGGGTAACACTCTGAGGAAGAGCGATCAAAATGAGGAAAAGGGGGGCAAACATTGAGAAAATGGAAATGTGCGAACATTGGTAAGTGTACTGAAGAACTCACCTCATTGTGTCCGACTCCTCCTCGCCCTCCCCCTCATGCTCAACTCCTTGATTCCGGGAACGAAGGTGAATGTGGGATTATTATTGAGGATGGTGAGCCCACATCAATAGCGGGGAGGCAGTGGAGCAGCGATGTGGTTTGGGGGATTGCAGCGGGCTTGACAAATAGCGACACTTGGGGTGGCTGGACTCAAGGGCACGTGTACCAGTTAATCCGCACAAAGTAATGTATCACCTAGGCCTTAGACACATGCTAGAGACAAGTGAGAGGCACGTCGACGTCATGGGTGTAAGGACATGCACGTCCAATCCGGTTATTGTAAGGACTTGGATTGAGCGCCTGAAGTAATCCGCCCAATCTGAACCGAGATCTCCCGACCTCAACCACTCTTCTACGACTTTCGCCGACCTAAAACAGCAGAGCCCATGTAGGTTCTCACTGGGGTTCAAGAGCCGTGAGATTGAAACCGGAGGTCGGGCTCACTGTCTCTCACTATCTGGTAGGTGAGTAATCGATGTAGTACATAGCCAAGTGTGCTGCACCACAAGGGCTGAGTCGTCAACAAGGACGATATATCAAGAGTACATAGAAGGCCGCGGCAACTTGAAATTGTTCACCGCGGCCCTCAGTACTTGCCCATGCATGATGAGATCGG